GCCAGCCTAAGGCACACCTGTGCAATAATCATGCTGTCTAATCAGCATCTTGATATGCCACACCTGTGAGGTGGGATGGATTATCTCGGCAAAGGAGAAGTGCTCACTATCACAGATTTTTTCAGATTTGTGAACAATATTTGAGAGAAATGGTTATTTTTTGTATATAGAAAATGTTTTAGATCTTTGAGTTCATCTCATGAAAAATGGGAGCAAAAACAAAAGTGTTGCATTTATATTTTTGTTCAGTGTAGTTGAACTTTGATCCACACTCAATCTGGTACATGGTGGTCCTTGACGCTAGCTTGAATTACATAAAGGTGAAAGTTTAAAGTCACAGCATTTAACCAGATCCCACTGATGTTTCATTTGAATATATTGAAATATAATTTAAAAACTGTAATTACTCTTCTAACTTAACTGTAAATGGTATCTTGTATATGACATGTTGTGGGTTTGTGTTATGCTGGCCTATCATAATGTACAACGCCTTCAATTCTGTATATTTACATTGTGTATTCAATAGATATACTCTATAGAAGTATATCTTCTTTTTTTCTATTTTACTATACTTTGAATTCAAATTTCCCAAATTGAGATCAATAAAAAGTATATTTAATCTAATCTAATTTTGGGGTTTTATATATTTAAGTAGTTTAGGTCAGTTTGTTGATTCTTGACACACTACTCAAACACCAATATGAAAATAAGAAATAAACTATTTAATTTCTCTTCAAATACTGACAAACTAAAGCTGACCTAAAAGGTCATCTATCATACAACTATCCTTAATAGTATACACTGAAAATGAAAAAACTACATTTAGATATAATCCCCAAAAGTCCAGCTGAAAATGTATTTACTTATTATTTCAGCTTTGTTTATCCTCTTCTTATATTTTTATATTGTTTAAATCATTCAAGTTTATCCCAAATTTGAATTTCCTTTTCATTACTATTGAAAATGTTTTGCATTTCGTCTAATCTTTAATTTCTTTAACTTGCAAATTCCCCTTAGTTACTGGTGACTGACTCTAAGTTGGAACCACTTTTGGATGCAGTCTGGAAGCATGTTGCAGTTTGTTGCTTCATACATTAATTGTGCAAGTTTGAAAGTCCATCCATAAATTTAAAGCAGGTAAGTTTATAATTTACAGTCTTGGTTAGTTCCTGATCATCAGCTCTTAACAAATGTTATGACCTTCTGAAGTACAAGAACTACATTTGTGATTTTTATGCATTTCCCCAGACCTTGACAGAGTAGATATAGAACTATAAAAGACCAGTCATAATATTTTAAGTGAGCAAATATGAAATGTTTTTTAGTAATGTGTCTCATTGTTGTTGTACTTCTCTTGTAGTATTCTTATTAACATGTCTTTATATTTTATAGTCGTTTTTTTAATAGTTCTATTTTCTCTTTTATTTATAACACTTTTCTCACGCTGTGTTTATGACGGTGATAAACCCGACTCTTATTCTGGGATTGAACTGTTTTTAATTTGGTTCGATTTCGCAATGGCTGTTGACTTTTCCCTCGTCATATACGTGTAGAATAGTGTGTATTACCGACTGGAGGTAGTCCAACAGCTGAGTGAGCTGGAACAGCCTCTGTGTGCGGGTGGTCTCTCCGCGGTGGCTCGCCAAGCGGTCCAGCTCCTTTATGTAGGAGGTCCGCAGTTCATCAAAACAACGCTGGTTCTTCAGGCCCTCCACTGGCACTGTGACCACAAACCCAGAACACAACAATAAATCTCACGGACATTATCCATCCCATCAATTCCCAGAAGAATGGCTGAACTCTATTATACTCTTATTTCACTTGCTCGACATGACATTCAACGTATTATTTCCTTTTTCCCAGCGGACTCACTGATGCTGAAGAGGACCAGGGCCTTCATGCAGAGGAACTCCTCCTGGGTGACCTTCAGCATGCAGAACCTTTGGGAGAGCACCTTCATCCTCACACAGTGTTCATACATACTGGACACTTGCATCCGCTGGCTGCAGGGGGAATACAAAAAATGGACGATGTGAGTGAGAGGAAGGAGAAGGAGCACCGGGTGCGACATAAGGAGGCAAAGAGAGCGTCAGGCGAGGAAGAAAAGAAGGAGGACAATTAATGGACGCCGAGGTGGAAAAATCAGCAGAGGTGAGAATAAAATGAGTGAGTTGGATAATGGAAAAGGGAACGACGTAGAGCCTGAGAAAAATGAGGGTCAGCAACAAGGGCAGGCGTATCCATTTCCATGCAGTTCAGAAGCAGCCCTAGAGAGTGACAGAGGTCTAATGCAGGTGTTTTGCTAATGTCGCACAAAGGAAAGCTGCTCCGAGGGCCCGAGGCTGGTTTTACCATTCTCAGCGACACGCTCGTTGAAAAACGGAAAGCTATTTTCTGATAAGAAATGGCAGAGTGGTTATTTACTTCTGTTTTATCAAGTGCAACGTTTACTTTCAAAACCCTGCGTGAATTTTGCTGAAAGTACAGAGAAAGGACAAAAAGCAGGAGTTGAGGTGTCAGGAAACATTTTTTTGATAAAGGCTGGAGGAGGTTGCGGCGCGAATCAGAATAAAAAAACTTTGACACCGCTGAAGTTCCTGGGGACTGATGGTTTCGTGGAGATGAAACAGAATAATTCATCTGAGGTGATCCCTCTGCGGCCACGTAAATCAGACGCAAAGGAAAATGTAAGAACACAACAGACTTGTTTACTCTCTCGCTTAGAAAAAGACGCCGTTCATCGTGTTATTTCTTCTAAATCTTTCTCTGAAGCTTGTATTCCTAAGTGGCTTTTCTTTCCCATCAAGGTGACAAGTGAAAACTCTTCGTATTCCACTAAAAAAGCCAAATGTCACAGTGATTATTACAGCGGTTAAGGGCCGCCACAAACTTTATTTGTCTGCTAAAGAAACTGCGACATGACAAACTTCTTCTAACTTCCATTCTTTGAAAACAATATCAGAACTTTGGTTAAAGTATTTTTTCACTACTTACTCATTGAACACCAGGTCTGGAGCAAAGTAGAGCAGGGAGCTGTTGGTGAGTGTGTAGGACCTCCATCCCAACGCGAACACCATCACCCCCATCCATGACAACTGAATCACAGACATCTGATCATCCACGTGCATGTCACGGAAACCTGTAAAAAACACATTTTTGATTAACTGCACATCATGAAATCACACTCCTCTGTTCAGTTTAATAGATATCAACACTTCATACTAATTAAAAGAAGAATCACAGCAGTGTGGATACAGTGTTTGCCTTTTCCACCCATAGATATGAGTGTATCGCCCTCTAGTGGTCTATTTATGAACAGGTTTGAAAGGGATTGGCTCATCAAACTGATGTTCAACATGCATCAAATCCTGGCGAGGCTTGCCATCTGGTGATGTCGTGGCCTTGCCCCAAGGTTACAAATATAAGATCAGATATCAGACATTTCCTGGCGATGTAAATTACTGGGAAATGTACCTCTCAGTGTTATCCCCCTATCTTGTACACCCCAGCACGTGCACTCAGCTCTGCATCGGCCAAACAGCTCGCTACACCCGCACTGCGAGGGGGACCCAAGTTCCCATCAGCAAAAACTCGTGGGTTTGCTATCCTGGCTCCAAAATGGTGGAATGAGCTCCCCATTGAAATCAGGACAGCAGAAAGCTTGCACATCTTCCGGCGCAGACTGAAAACTCATCTCTTTCGACTCCACTTCGAGCGATAGAATTACTAACAAAGCACTTATATACTAATAAAGGGCTGGCTTATCTAAAGCCTGTTGAGTAGCACTTGAAATGTTTGGCTCTATGAAACCTGATGTACTTATATGATTCTGTTTTCTTCAAGGTTGTATCTTCCTGGTCGAATGTACTTATTGTACGTCGCTTTGGATAAAAGCGTCAGCTAAATGCAATGTAATGTAATGTTTAATGTAATCTTGCTCAGAAAGTGTGACCTCGCTGGTTTTGCTAAGCCTAACACAATACAATCTGTCTGGACACACCAACTAAAAACACCTACATGTGGTGTTGACTCGTGTACAAGTCAACCTTGGCCCAGAGTGGTTTACCTGGTATTGCCTTGGCCCAGCGCACCACAGTTACTAGCTGTCTCTCCCCCAGCTCATTGAGGCTGGTGAGCAAGGACACGGGGCTGTCTGGCTGCGCGTGATCGTGCCCGGCATTGACCACAGCCGGCTCGATGGCCTGCAAGACGCTGAGCAGGGAGCGGCAGGAGCGGACGCTTGGGGGAATCCCTGAAGCCAGGCAAGCTACTGAAGACATACAGAAGAAGAGTATTAAAGTAACATTACAAGTAAAACTATGTTAAGTGGAGTTTATGAGACACTTATCCTCACTTTGAGCCGCTACAGCTGCACTTCCAGGCTCCAAGATGGCATCTCTGTTTCCCCAGGGAGCCGGAGGAAGCTCCTCCTCTCCGCTCCTCGGCTGTCCGGCTCCCTTAAGCCTACGACCTAGACAAGGAGAAGAAAACAGGGCCGAAAGGAGATAACAAGTCTCCATTTATACGTTGTTTTGTCTGATTTATTACACAATAAATAAAAGCAAATCAGGGGAAAAAAACGAAACGAGTATAAGCCAGATTCTGTTCCTTATCACTGCAGAGGGGCAAGGCCAGGAAAAAGCTCTTCTGAAACGAATTTGTTACAATGTATTTAAGCAGGGACATTTGATTAGTCAGCTCTGATCCAATGCATGTAAGCTATCTAACCACCCTGACCCCCTTTTCAAATGAAAATCCCTCATACTTTCCATGCTCAGTCTCTCTTTGGGATTTTATATTTAGTCCCTCACCTTTGAGGCTCATTCCTGACATGAAGCACCTCTTTAAACGGCACGAGGCGCAGTTTTTCCTCCGCAGCTTGTCGATGGTGCAGTCGTTCCGGCTGGCACACAGATGGTTCTGCTTACCTGGTGGTACAGAAAAGTTTCGGGGGGATGAGGGAGCGTTTTCAACAATGATTAGGCTTTCACTCATAGTGCTGATATGTGGGTGTTTACTGATAACATGAAATAACTCGCCCTCATAATGTCAGGTCACTGTGCCCTGCCTGAATGCACCAACGAGGGGGCGTAAGAAATTAAATCAGCGCTCAAGTGATTGTTTGTGTCTTTGTGTGCACTTGTGTGTGTTTAAATTGGTGTCGCACCCACCTGCAGCGGCTCTCTTGAAGAATACTTTGCAGCTGCCGCAGGTGACGGCTCCGTAGTGACAACCTGAGGCATCGTCGCTGCAAACCTGACACACTCTCCTGTCCGACAGATACACACCTGGGAACAAATCCTCATGCCTGGACACATAAAACATAAACAAACATATGAAAGAGAAAGGATTCACCAGTGGGCACAGATTCTGCATTTTTGAAATGGTTTCATCATGAACAGTTGCAAATAGCATGAACAAAGGCAGACAGTTAAACTAGGCGTGTTAGCAGTTGATTTAGGTCACTAGGTTTTGTCTCAGAGATGGCTCCCTGTTATGACATCCGGGGCACTAATTCCCTAAATCCAATCCAGTTATAAAACATTTCCCTATTCCATGATTGATTATATAACAAGTGAGGCACATCTGTGATTAACCAGCAAAGTTACATATTTTTTTTACGGGCAGTAAAATCAGGACATTCTCTTCTATTCAAAGCAAGATGCAGCAACAGGTGCTTATCTCTTGTTTATAGTGACAGTGGTATATTAAGTGGTATTTTATGTAGTTAGTCACAGGACAGTCCAAGTTAGGGATAAGGTAAACTTTGATTCAGTCTACACACTAAAACACAACTTGGCCAAGGCCAGATGAGCACATGTGGCTGTTAGAGCCCAAATAATGTAATGCTGATTACACAGCTGTCTCTGCAGCACAACTGGGCACCAGCATAAGGCATAGCAGAGGATAATGCAATGTTAGGTGGATTTTATTTATTTGTGCAGCCATGTCCAAAAATCCTCTGCAGCTCTCTATATAAATATCAAGAAGAACAGGAGGAGATTGCAGCTTTAGACAATGGATGTAATAAAGGATCAAGTTCATAACCCTTATCCAACAAAGCAACATGCAACAACTGGGCAGATTAAAGCATGGTCACTACACAATGTTCACGGTGCATTTGTCCTTTTATTTCTGACAAAAAAAAGATGAACTTGGGTGGACAGAATGAAGCCCTCAGTATAATTGCACTCTCGATATTATGCCAACAAAAACCAAGTCAAAGCAAATCATTGAAACGTACTTACCTAAAAGTGCGATCAGAGCAATCCAGCCAAACAGATGGTTCAGTCTTGATAGTGGAAAGAGTGCCGCGTCCTTGAGGAATTGCACTTTGGTAACTTTCCATTTGGCCATAGCCGTGTGCCATCGCTGCTCGCACGCCACCTTTGTCCTCCTTGTTGTACCAGAGACAGTGGCATTCCTGCATGGATCCGAGAGATGCTGGCCCACAGTTACAGTATTTGCACAACAAATTACGTCCGCTTAAACCGCCCCTCTCCGGCTCGAATCGGTTGCTTCGGGCGCACCACGCTCCCGGAGTGTCCCTGTATAGGTTCGGATTTGCGGAGTACGCAGAGTATGGAGTCAAAGGCAACATCTCTTCCACCTGAGAGGGCGCGGGCAGCTCTTCCTGCGGGTTCATGAACAGGTTAGACTCCCTGCAGACATACCTAGATAACACAGGGTCACGCGCCCCGTTCTGCGCGCTGTCTATGTCCCCCGATGTGAGCAGATCCATGCAGCTCACCTGCTGAATGCCGTGGCACACTTCTCCAAAGTCGTCTTTAAGGGCAGTGTCACGTAATAGAAGACTGTCTGAGTTGACATTAGGAGCCGTTTGTAACTCCTGAACTCCCCGGGAACTACTCTCCATGGTGTGGTGGAAGTCTGCGAATATGCTGCTGCTGCTGCCGGAGCACTGGTTCATGTTGCTAAGCGGAGAGGACACTGAGTCTAGACCCAGTGACACCGATACTGCCTTACTTAGCTCAGCGGTAGTTGGGCAAGAAGCACAGCTGTCCGCAGTGTCCGCGCGCTCGTTTATTAAAGAGTTTGATATTTCTTCTAAGCTCGAGCGAAAGGCCATACTGTGTGAGCAGTGTGCTGGTTACACTGGGAAACAAAATAAAACAACTCACTTCAGGCGAGAAAACGCCTACCCTGCGAGAGTCGTATGTGTCGGCGGAGGAGGAAATAATACACAGCAGCGGTCTGTCGACGTATGAAGGGACGTCCCGCCGAGCTGTTCCACGAATGAAAGCAGGGCTGGACACTTGTTTCCTATCGCCTTTTTTCTTTTTTTTACAAAGCTCCGTTTTATTTCCTCGGGGGCTGAGTAGAAACTCGCTCCATAAGTAACGATTAAAACTTTGTAACTTGTCTTAGAATTCTGGCATGTTTAGGTCTCGTGAGTGAGACCTAAACCTAAGTGACCTAAGTGAGGCAAGGATTAAATTATCGCCACATCATGACAGGCTTCTTTAGAAACATTCTCACCTAAAGCTTCCATGTTTGTTCAGAATTGGATTTTCTAAATTATAATATTCTCTTTCTCAGTAGGCTATGTTGTGGGAATGAAAGGTGAGCTTGTTTGTATTCGTTTGCCTTATTTACACGGTGAATGTTGGTCGATATAATACAACGTGTCCTGCACAATCATTGACTTTTCTGAAAGACATCAAAATAAATATAATTGTATACCGTTGGTCAATGAAGGGTCTAATAGTCTGCATGTGATGGATGAGAATGTCATTGTCAGGAACAAGAGATGGATGAAATAAGCCTTTCAAAGCGCAACATAGCCTACTGCAAGATTATTTTCACATAATCATATTTTATTCTATGTTTATTTACATTAGATAGACTGATTAAATTAGGTTATTTTGAGAAGGGAAGTAAAGGGTTGGTTGTCACATTCATTAGATCTCGCTCCATAGAGATGTGAAATCATGTTGGTACTAAGGTCAGAATAGGGTCAGAATTCAGGAACATATCAGGAGTAAAAAAACTTGACATTGAGGCAGGGCTGCCAACACTCACGCATTGAGCGTGAGAGTCACGCAATTAACCCATATCTCACGCACTCACGCCACACTTGCCTTGTCTCACGCTAAGTTTTCGTCCACAATAAATGTACATAAATATAAAAATAAAGTGAAGGAACAGCAAACCGAGCAGTCTAGGAAATGAGACGGTCTTCTGGCTTAGTTCAGTAAAGTTGGAACGATATTGGGAGATTCTGATTTCACGGATCAATAACTCATGAAAAGACATTATTCAGACACAAATGACGTCTCCTAAGTACCGTGGTAAGGTTGACAACGAACTACAATCACATTTTGATCAAAAAAAAAAGCCAATACGCGCCGTCCTCCGAGCTGGACACATTACATTGGTCTCTATCTGCAGCCGGAGAAGAAACGAGTGCTCAGGGACCGTCTGCAAAGTGCAACTCCGAAAAAAGAGAATACAATAATATTCAATCACTATTATACAGCTTATTACTAGCAAACTCACCACACACATCAATGGTCTCCTGTGTGTCATACTACAGAAAGGAGTTTGGAAGAATATGCTTTTGAATCATTTTGGGGAATATTTATAATGTAAAATCTTCAATAACTATGGCATCATCTTCAATAATCTTTACTATTATACAGTATATTTCTACAAAACTCACTATTTGCATTGTTGTTGTTAGCATCTGGTTAGCTTAACGGATATTAAAAGCTGTTTCTAAAACAAAGAGAGGGAGAGCTCTGTCCTTTCAGACTGAGAGATAACTACAGCTCAGTGAGGTAAGGGACTCTGTTTAGATAGTTAACTTTAGTCTAGTTATCTCAGTGGGTCTCAAACGGTTTGCTCACCATTTATGAGAATACATGAAAAACAGTTATGAAATACCATATGACAGTAAAACAAGAATACAGTTTAAAAGGTGAGTGATTTGTAAAATAGCCTACCCATAAAGAAAAAGAAAATCTGTTTACAGTTCTGTTTCATATGGGTGTTGAGAGATGTGTCCTTAAATTCATTTTGCTCTCAAAGTGCACCAGGTTGATGCATTTAACTTCAATATAAAAAATAAAAAAATCTTCCCGGACCCCCCTAGAGGAGGTGAGGGTGAGGGTGAGGGACCCCCCCCCCCCACACTTATAAAATAGCAGTTTACCTTTGCTTGCACCTATATGCCATTTTATATGATGTGAGCTGATTATCGAGCCTTCATTGTAAGAGTCGCGGGTACACTGTGTATGTGCGTGTTCCACTCTAGCGCCCGGTACATTAATGGGAAACCCTAGTTTGTACATGTTCAATACATTTGTAACACTGTACACATGAACTTTTCTTTTTTCGGTTCACCAAAAAAAATCTCACTCCAAGCTGAACTCAAATGTTGGCAGCCCTGATTGAGGTTAAAACATGAATCACCATTGGATGGTTACAACATTGCTCATAATGAAAATCTTTCATTCAGAATGTAATGGGATTTCCAATAACAGTACATCACTGTTAAGCTCTATAGTAGAGCTTTTCTTAGTTAGGCTACAGCATGTGGTTGTTTGCTTAGTTGCTAGCAAAAAAAATCCAGATTTGGGATGCATGTCACATTCTCTCAAGCTTTTGAAAAGATCGTCTCATTTGGCACAGCAAAGTAATTGATAGAGTAATTCCGTATTGCACAAACAACACACCGAAATTGTTTCTGTGCATTTTACTTACGTGATGAAGAATACATAATTTAACATTTGTTTTTTAATAATCAATTTTATTAAAGTTTTCATTAGTTGGCATTTCAAAACGTGTGTAGTACAATTGACAAGGACAACAGCAGAGCTTTTCGTAAATGACAGCATAGATAATGTTTGTTTTGCAACACTGAAATGGACCACGGATGTGTTTTTTATTCCCATGTCATTAATAATGAATTTTCAACAGTTGTCACTTCTGACTTATTTCTAGATGAAACAGCATTGAAATCAAGGACAGTATAATTTGCTGTTATTTTTGATCTGTCATGTCAGGTTAATATTCTATCTAAGCAATATATTGGACCTACTTCTGAAATCTGTCAATGTGTCCAATTTCTTAATCTATCCTTATCTTGTCTTCAATCGGGCCCTCTCACATGCACTCAAATTCATCAATGCGTTGTTTGGTGTTGCCCTGACGTATCTGACGTAGGGTCTTGTATTTGTCGCGACCTGCCTTCACATTCTCAGCATGAATCAGGTCATTTGGGGTCTTTTTGCTCTCGTCAACAGCTCCAGCCAGCTCGATGCTCAGGCACTGAAGGAAAACACAAAAACAGAGCGAATGAGATCCTGTTTCCTGAAACTCTTTCGGAGACTATTCAGGAGCCTTGCCCCTCTCCCTCAACCCTGTGCCCGCCTCAATCCCCGCCTGGAAACACCCTTTTGTCCACAGTTATTAAGTCCAGTTTTGTGTTGAGTCCTTTATGCAACATCATATCTTGTTTTGGCTGCAAGATACAGACCAATTTTATTTCATTTGTTATAGGCCTCTGTCTGGGTGACGTTTGAATGAGTCCAATGGAATAATAATTTACCTGCACCAGTATTTTATTATGCAGAGTGCACTTCGTTTGGTTGAAACCTAATTTTTGGAGGCAATTAAGCTGCCATTTTACAGCAGCGTCAAAACCTCTATAGTACAGGGTCAACAGGCAACACAGCAAATGTACCAAAACACTTTAAAAATCTCCTAAACAAAATGAATTTCAAACCACAAAATTGTAGGCGGTGGGTCAAGAAAGAGGCAGCTAGACTGATAAGCTGAGGAACATGTTGCTCCATACATCATATTAAGCCTTATATACCTAAGTTAATAATAAAGAACTTACTTAAAAATATGTTTAAATATTTTGATCAATGGAAATCAGTGACTGAGAGCCAGAGATTATCTGGAGACAAGACTAAAGTCTCAAACCAGCAGATATGTGAGGCTGCATTTAGGCACATCAGGGCTCAATGCCACAGTGTCAGCATACTGACACGCTCACATGGATAATGATATCATACTGATGTTTGGCAGTTTATATTTATCAGGCACACAAATCTTCAGTTGGTCTGTTAGAATGCTGACATTTTGTAATCAGGATTTCACACATTAGGAAGATGAGAACTACAGTAGTTTAGACCGGCTATGAAAAGTCCGAGAATTAAAAGCAATCCGTCAAATATTTCAGATATTTTTGTCAAATTGTCAACCTCATGATGACAAAAGAGAATATTTTCTTTTTGGTCAGGGGATCAGAAAAGTGGTATGCCATTAATTTTAGGGACTATGAACGTCAGTACACAAAATGTGTGCTTATTAACATTGTAGATTTTTCTTTCACAATAAATGTAAACTTTTAATGTGCTGCTGGCGTTAGAAGAGAAGTCATAACATCACCAAAGTCAGTGGGGGTCATCCTCTTGGGACCATGAATGCCTATACACAATTTCATGGCAATCCATCCTATTGTCATTGAGATATTGCAGTCCAGCTGACAGTAACACAATGCAATAGAACGCAGGTTTAGAAGCTTTAAGACAGCCAAGGGACGGCTAATCTGTATCTGAACATGACCTCTGCCCTGAAGGGAAGTAAGAGAATAGCAAATCCATGAAATAGGACATTTGATTAGAATTTGCTTAACCTTACCTTGAGGTTTTTCTGCAGCCTCTCATTCTTCTGGGCCTCTGTTACTCGCTCCTCTTCGCTGCGATCTCGAACCGTGCCCGGAGAGGTCAGCTCAGCACTCGCCTCTGCGCTGCTCTCGTCCGTCTCGTCGTGCTCGTGCATGGGAGGGTGGACAGAATCCTGGATTTGGACACCCATGAGTTTAGTCTTCAGCTCCTCTTTGGTTCGCTCCAAATCAGCTTCTACCACCATCGCCTGTCAAAACAGACCACTTGCAGTGAAGTGATGTGTTTAGATGTTAAAGTGCACTATATTTGTTTCAAAATGTGATATTCACGTGGGCATGTATTCTAGGAAATGTGATTTGTAGTACAACCAGGGGCAGAATTTCCATTAAGGTAGACAACTGACTCAGGCCCTAAGAAGCTATAGATCTATTATTCTTACAAAATGCAACTAAACACACTTCTCACTGTGTAAGCCTTCTTTTGCTTTAAAGTAAAACATGTTATTACTATATTTATCCTACTATGTCTATGGAGACTATGGAAACGTTATGGCTTACGAAGCAGAAT